GAATTTGAAAGTGCGTTGGCTATCACTTTGATAGTTTATATTTGAGATGAACTTGTCGAAGAAAGTCCGTTTAGGGTGTAAGACGGCTTGCTTTAGGACAGCTGATTGTCATCTCCAGGCTTGTACGTCTTCTTTTCTTCCAGTGTGATTAGCAGTATTGCGAAGGGCGTCCCGCTTCCAGTCTGATCAGCAGTGTTGCAAAGAGCGTCCCTCCCAGTCTGATCAGCAGTGTTGCGAAGGGCGTCCCTCTTACACTGATCAGCAGTGTTGCGAAGGGCGTCCCGCTTTCTTTTAGCTTCCTCAAGGTGTTTGGACCAAAACACTCGATAGTGTTTATGTGTTTAGACCAAAACACTCGATAGTGTTTAGTCTTGCCTATGGGTAATGTGAAGGGCGTCCCGCTTTCTTTTCAGTTCCTCAAGTTGTTCAAGGGCGTCCCGCTTTCTTTTCAGTTTCTCAAGGTGTTCACAGGGCGTCCCGATTTCTTTTCAGTTCCTCAAGGTGTCTAGAACGTCCCGCTTTCTTTTCATTTCCTCAAGGTGTTTAGACCAAAACACTTGATAGTGTTTAGTCTTGCCTCGGGGAATAGTTTTCTTTGAACATTTATTTATTTATTTCAAATGGCAGGCGTTTTGACAGTTATCATTAGCCATTTAGCTGACTTCGGGCTTTACAGGGAGAAGGAACATCAAAGTAACAGAAAGTCAAGGGATGGGGAACAGAAGAGTGGTTTACAGTTGTAAAAGAGTCCAGAAATCGGGGGGGGAACAGAAGAGTGGTTTACAGTTGTAAAAGAGACTGACACAAAGGCAGAGAAAGGGTAGGATGATTACTGTAGAAGTGGTCAAATTTGACATAGAGTGGGGTGATGGTAATTTGAAGTGAGAAGTCAACTGCCAGCTAACAGACTTTTTTGCCGTATGAGTATACGTTGCCCAGGGTGCACCACGTGGAGATAAGTCTATCGCACACCCCTTCTTTGAACATCTGATCATAATATTCATGATATCAGTGCAAAGTTTGTCAGGATGTTGGTTGAATTTGAGGGGACTTGTGTGAAGTTCATTGTCTAAAAGGTTTGTGAATCTAGGCCAGTCAGCGTTCTTGGCGTTTCACGAAAGCTTAGTTGGCACTTTCGTTATCACGCTTTTGCTGCCGATGGAGTTGGCACTTTCCTTGTCATGCTTTTGCTGCCGATGGTAGGTTTGTGACCAGACCCAGTCGTTGGCACTTTCCTTGTCATGCTTTTGCTGCCGATGGTAGAATGACTGGTTTGTGACCAGAACCAGGATCGTCAATTATTGTGCGGTGACTGGTTTGTGACCAGAACCAGGATCGTCAATTATTTCACGGACTGGTTTGTGACCAGAACCAGGATCGTCAATTATTTTGCCTGTGACAGAACAAGTCTTATTTTGCGGCGTGTATGCTCACTGATGTCGCTTGAAGCCAGGAGTAAGTCAGGAGTTGTTCTAGTTCCATTGCATTGCAGATATGCTGCAGAATCCTCATTGCTGTAAATAAGTTCAAGAGGGTTGCTGTTAAAGAGGTATTTTGGCCTAGAAAAAAATTTTCGAAATTTTTTTCTTCCATATTTTCATAGTTTAACTATTCAAGAATATGCCTATTAGAGGATTTTCCAAAATTCAAAATATTTTCGGAGATAGAAGTATTTTGCTGAGCAGACATCCAAATCGGTTGGACTTCAACTAATCGAACAAAAGGCATAATGGGTTCTCCGACCACCTGAATCCATATTTCTTAGTAAGCCCTTTTATATATATATATATATATATATATATATATTTCACGGCAATTAATGTACGGAACAGGGAAACACCAGCTTTACGAGTGAATCAGTAGCGAAATTGAGGAAATCAAATGATGAAGAAGTAATTATAGATAATAATTACGGCTACTGTTTTTGGAGCTTTTCACGGTCTTTATAGCAATTTCTTTGTTTGTTTCGTGTAATAAGTACAAGAACGAGATTAGATTTTCAAGAACGGCTCAACGCGGATTCGGGTTCAAAATTGCATTACAATGGAGTTGCAATAGTCTACGCTGCATTCCACCATGTCCATTCGTTGACAAATCGTTCAAAGTTTATCATCAGAAGAGTTATTGATTCGATGTTTGGGTTCAGAAACTCAAAATAATAATGAGTCTCTAAACTCGCTGACATGGGCTTTCGCTCCAAAGCTTATCCATTCCAGGTCTCAGATCATTAAAGTTGCAACATTTATTGTAGATTGATAATTTTTTTATTTTTTGATTTCAGATTGCTTGGAGAGTTAAAATCGTGGATGTGGTCATGCACCATATTTTTGGGACGTCCCACTCCATCAGCTGATAACTAACAAAATTTTAAATTTTTTAGTTTTTATTTTTTTGTATACTTCTAAGGTGAATAAATAATGTATGAAAAATTGATTATAAAAATATTGCTTGCTTTTTTTACAGCACTTCAAAAATTGCCTAAAATTCATGTCTCTAGACCAGAATACCCCCTTAAGCATGTCTTTGATTTAATTTTCATCGATGTTTGTTTTCTTATAGCCCCATCTGGCGGAATGGGCGTTGAAGTCTCCTAATATTACAATTTTTTTATGAGATGTTCAGATCAAATTTGGAACTATTCTGGGTTGGATTATATACTGCGCATGTCTTGAAGTAGTTTTGACGTTTTCAAACATTTAATTTAATTATTTCGCAAATGTCTT